CTGCACCTTGTTGTCTCAGATTCTCCAGCATCTGCAGTTCCTACTATCTATGAAAGTGCACTGATTGGGCTGCATTTAATTACTACGGTGATCCACTGAAATGACAGGGTCAACCTGAATTCAGCTGTTTCCAGGAGAGCTGACCCAATTCTGCGCACAACTAACAATTAACACCTAACACTAGAGCTCCCATCCCTTTAGGTTTGGAGATTCCACCTCCAAGTAGTCACAGAATCACCAACTCGTGTTTCCTAGCTCGGTCGCTCATAAAGGTGGTCAATGCAGCAAGATGGATCTAGCCCCGAAACAGAGGTGTGTTGGGTTAGGCTTATTGTTGGGGATCTCTGGGCCACAGGGCACTGGATCTGGAAACTCTCCCTGGGTCTGCATGGAAATTGCCAGTTTCTTAGGCTGTCTCTTCATGCAGTAGAGGACCTCTCTACTTTCTACAGAATCTTAGCATTGGCAGAAGGAAGGAACTAGGTGGCCAATGACTCCTTACTGCTGATTTCCTTCCCTCCCAATTCTAAGACATCCCGAATCATAATTTGCTCCCATGGGCTGGATTTTTAAGCTCATTATCAATAATTTCTGGTTACACTTTACAGAGAACTAAATAAATTTTGAGACTTACGCTTGAGACTAAGAAACAAGCTGAAGTATCATGAACAAATCTTTAAAATATATTTCAAATGGAGAAATTTGACATGCCACAAATATAAAATTAGCTTTCCAGGGCAAGAAAGGATCTTCAGCAATAATTAAGATCTTAGCATGCTATTTAAAACCCAGGTCTGACTCATTCAAATAAAGCTTTTATCAAGGATCTGTAAAGGGAGACCAAAAGTGTAAAATGAACAAGTTTGTGACTGTTCAATAATTTCTATCTGCTCACAAGTTGTATGGACCTCAATATTACACTCAGTGGTGATAGGCAGAATCACTGAGAGTGTCTAATGGATTTTCACTTTTAAATGAGCATTTATAGACTGCAAACATTGCAACATCCACCAATCAGGGACCAACAGCAGGCATTCCCAGGAGACTACCCACCAACTGAGAGGTTATGGCCCATCTGAGGCTTCTGTACTCAGCAGTGCCACCTTTTAGAATCACACCCTCCTGGGGTCCAGGTAAAGCCAGAGCTAAACACAGGGAAATGATGATGGAAAGGGAGATCATCATCATAGAATCCCTACAGTGTGGAAGCAGGCCATTTGGCCCATTGAATCCACATCAACCCTCCAAAGAGCATTCCACCCAGATGCACCCCCTACCCTGTCTCTGCATTTCCCACACTAGACACTATCGGCAATTTAGCGTGATCAATCCACTAAACCATGCGTCTTTGGACTATGGGAGGAAACCAGAGCACCTGGAGGAAGCCCACGCAGACATGGGGAGTATGTGCAAACTCCACACAGACAGTCACCTGAGGGTGGAATCGAACCTGGGTCGCTGGCGCTGTGAAGCAGCAGTGCTAACCACTGTGCCACCCCTTAAATACTGTGGAAGAGTGGAAGTCAGTAAATGGTCAGAAGCAAGAGCAGGAGGGCAGCTTTCATTTCCCTCTGCCACCCCCACACTGCCAGATGCCAAGTTCCTACTCCAGAAGTCCACAAACAAACATTCAATGGCCAATAATTACCCATTTAAAGGGTCTCAGTTAATGTTAGGGCAGAAAAGCCATCTGTGGGTCAATTACCACAAACTGAATTGGGGTGGAGGCAGGGTCCCCAACTGTTACCTTCCACCTCCTGCCCAAATTAAATGCCACCTAACCCGCCGTAGATGAAGGCAAAAGATTCAGCTCTACACTTGCTTTTAAGGTACAGTGAGTCTGGATAAAATCCCCATGCTCTTATCACAGCATAGGGCTGCTCTCCCATTAGAGAGAGAGAGAGAACTGACTCATAGCTTAATTTGGGACTCATCATGACTCAGGCAAAGGGAAGAGGTTGAGAAGGAGTAATAGTAACCTCAGCTGGTGCAGGAAATGAATCTGTGCTGTTGGTATCACTGCATCACAAGCTAGCTGTCCAACCAACTGAACTGACTGACACACCTCTGTATAGGTAACATTTACACTGGCAAGACTAAACAATTTGTGATGAAGTACCGACTTTGAGCAAAATCAGTGAAATCAGTGAAAATTGCAGCAAAATGTGAACTATTTAGAAAAATATGTTTTCTCATATTTTCACTGAAACTCATATGTATATTGTCAGATGGAAAATCTGTTATGCACAAACAGAATGGGGCAGTGCTTTAGAACATTTAGAACGTTTAAGAGTGGCAGATTGATTAGTGCAGCTAAAAATTGGTTTATTACAAAAAAAATTACTTAAAATTATGATGTAAATTATGTGTGGTTCATTATATTAACTATGGTTATCAGTTCGTTAGTAATTTGAAAGAATACTCGAACAATTTGGAATATTCTTATTTCTGTCTACATACCCAAAGGACATTATAGAGCCTCCTCAAAAACTCACAAAACAGTAGAATTAGCTGAAACTTCCAATCATGATAAATTCAGCCAAATTGGAAACTTCAAAATGTTGCATGCTGAAAGGTTTTCCTGCGCTGTTGTCTCAAATTTCTTTTTCTGGAGAGAACAAAAGTTATGATTGACAATTGAACACACTTTTGTGAAATTGTTAGACAGTTAAGAGATGTAATGTAATTTATTCATGCAGTAATGTATGTTGCTGGATACATTATTATGAAATAAACAACATTGTTTGGCAAAAGATTGAATATAAAACCCAGGCCCTCAAGGTGAGTTTAGACTAAATGTGATATTGTGCCTATTTTTAAATTAGCACCATTGGCTCAAGTTTGCTTTTCTTTTAAAAACCGAAAGAACTGCGGATGCTATAAATCAGGAACAAAAACAGAGGCTGCTGGAAAAGCTTAGCAGGTCTGGCAGTATCAGTGAAGAAAAGATCAGAGTTAATGTTTCGGGTCCGGTGACCCTTCCTCAGAACTGGGCCCAAAACGTTAACTCTGATTTTTTCTTCACAAATGCTGCCAGAGATGCTGAGCTTTTCCATCAACTTCTGTTTTTGTTCCTGTGTTTGCTTTTATTTTGCCTGCCTATTGTTATAGTGTGTGCATTTTGACCAAACAATAAACCTCAATTTCTTTAAACCATGGATTGGATATTGTGCTTAAATGAAACTGAGGTTTGTATTTGAGTGCATAGTTTGTAAGAACAGTTATTTTAGCTATATAATAGAATATGCTTGGCTACAGTAAAAACATATTTTTGTGAAGGCTCTATGAGTAACAAATCTTTGACAATTGAACTATTGACATAAATTCATTCAGCAACAAAGCTAATGTAAATAAGCCTGTCACAAATAGCTCTTGGTTAATCAAGACAATGTTACGTGTGTAGTTTAATCTATAGTTTATCTATTTGCTATTTGTAAACAAATTGTGGAATCTAGATAATTAATTATTAGTTTGTGAGGAATTTTTCCATTGAAAATATCTGTTCATGATTAAAATCTATTGAGTCATCAAAATGACTTCTCAACCAATTGCTGAATATCATGGGTGAAATTGGTGTGTATATATTTTGAGAAATTCTGGGATTTTAATTCATCTTCTGTGGTTCCTTAACAAATGCTAACATGTCTGTGGTGGTATATAAACAGCTTGATTATCCTGGACAGATAAATTATCGGCTGACAGTAAATTAATCATGAGTTTGTAACTTTTTTCAAATGTACTGATCACAGAAGGAAAGACCTTTTATCTGCTCATTTTAATAGTCCCCTCTGATATCACTCTGTTGGTAGCACTGTTGAACTAGCCTAGTTAGTGCTAATGGGCTCCCGTAATAGACAGAGTAAATTAACATCAGAATGGTATCCAACCCAGGAAAAGTTTGATCTCTCTTCGTTCATAGATTTCGTGAATTATTAACTCACACATTATGATAGTAGAAACAATTACAGTGTTAATGCAAGTCCGATATCAGAACCAGTTAGTAACTTTAAAAATACAATTTGCGTTCAACCTACCATCCAGTCATCTGTAATCTAGTAATCTTTACAATTTTTGTTGATTGACAAGTGCAACACAATACAATATAAACAGTCAACAGATGTTTTGCATCCACTATGCATCTATTTCAGGATTTAGCTGTAAATATGTTTAATTTTATTTCTCATTATAGTTCTTGAATACAGCATTGCAATAGACTCTGCACGTCGAATCTCCAGAGGACTCTTTAATGAAACACATGAAAGAAATATCCAACGAAATATCGCTCTACCTTTATATAGCTGTGTCAAACACACCTTCTACATGTTGGCAAGTAAATCATACTTCTCTTTTATAAAGCTGGCAAACTTTTTTTCTCCAATGACTCAAAAGATTACTACTCCTAAAGTACAATACTGAGCCAGAAACACCTGCAAGATCTCAGCTCATGTTCAATGCCCTTGCTGCAATGAGTTAATTTGTTTCAAATAAGTAGGATTCAGCTACTATCACTGACCTTAGTGTTTCCAGGCTAGCAATGTAAAGTGTTTTGTTCCTTGTCAATGAAAACTAATGAAAATACTCAGAAGATGTGACAGCATCTGTGGATTGAGAAACAGAAGGCAGAGTGCAACAATATCTACATGGACTTTAGCAAGGCCTTTAACAAGGTTCCACATAGTAGACACGTTAGTACAGTTAGATCACATGGGATTCAGGGAGATTTTGCCAATTGGATACAAAATTAGCTTGATGGCAGGAGACAGAGGGTGGTGGTAGAGGGTTGTTTTTCGAATTGGAGGCCTATGACCAATAATGTTCCGCAGGGTCAGTGCTGGGTCCATTGTTGTTTGTCATTTAAATAAACAATTTTAAAAGAATATAGGAAGCGTAGCTGGTAAGTTTGCAGATGACACCAAATTGGTGGTAGATTAGACAGAAGATTATCTAAGAATACAAAGGATCTTGATCAATTGGGCCAATGGGCCAAGAGTGACACATGGTATTGCATTTTGGTAAAACAAATAAAGCTGAACTTATACAATTGATGGTAGGCCCCTGGGAGGTATTGTCAAATAGACAGACCTGTGGGCCCTTGGAAGTTGCATCACAGGTAGACAGGGTAATAAAGATAATAATCAGCACACTTGCCTTAAGTGCTCAGACCATTGAGTATAGGAGTTGGAATGTCACCTGGTGATTGTACAGGAAGTTGGTTAGGACACTTTTGGAGTACTGTGTACAGTTCTGGTTGCCCTGCTTTAGAAAGGATGTTATTAAATTGCGGAGAGTTCAGAGAAGATTTACCAGGATGGTACCGGGATTAGAGGGTTTCAGTTATGGGGAAAGGCTGGATAGGCAAGAACCGTTTTCATTGGAGCACAAGAGGTTGAGGGGTGCCCTCACAGAGATTTATCAAATCATGAGGGGCACAGATAAGCTGAATAGCAGCGGTCTTTCCCTAGGTTAGGGGAGTGCAAAAATAGGTGTAATTTTAAGGTGAGAGGAGAAAGATTTAAAAGGGCAACTTTTTCACACAGAGGGTGGTTTATACGTGAAATGAACTGAAGAAGTAGTAGAGGTGGGTACAATGACAAAATGTAAAAGACACTTTGACAGATATATGAATAGGAAAGGTTTAGAGGGATATGGTCAGGTGCAGGCAAATGGGACTAGCTTAATTTGGGAAACTGGAGGCACTGTTTCCATTCTGTATGACTCTATGATTTTATCTATGATTCTATATCCTGGGTCCATTGTGACAGGGTTGAAAATTGAGATTCAGGTAAACTGTGGTGGAGCTGCACTGAAGATGGATTTTTGACTCATTCTCGCCTCTGCATTTTATTTTCTGGGGGAGGATTGTGAATCCAGTCAGCTGCCCATTCCTTGGAGGCAGATAGCCTTGCACTTTATCATTACATTTAAATGGACAAGGCTCCTCTTTGGTGTGGATATGTCACCCAGCCCCAGTCTCCACTATAATGGAAAGTGGAAGGGTTAGAACCAGGTTGGTGCCAGCTTTAAGATTTCTAAAATTTTGCATCTGACTTGACCCAAACTCTCTTTCATTTGGTGATATAATTATCCCCAGGGTTTCAGTGCACTGACCTTTCAACAGAAACAGGTGGATGAGGGTAAAGCGGTTGATGTGGTGTATATGGATTTCAGTAAAGCGTTTGATAAGGTTCCCCATGGTAGGCTATCGCAGAAAATACGGAGGCATGGGATTGAGGGTGATTTAGCAGTTTGGATCAGAAATTGGCTAGCTGTAAGAAGACAGAGGGTGGTGTTTGATGGGAAATGTTCATCCTAGAGTTCAGTTACTAGTGGTGTACCTCAAGGATCTGTTTTGGGGCCACTGCTGTTTGTCATTTTTATAAATGACCTGGATGAGGGCGTAGAAGGATGGGTTAGTAAATTTGCGGATGACACCAAAGTTGGTGGAGTTGTGGATAGTGCGGAAGGATGTTGCAGGTTACAGAGGGACATGGATAAGCTGCAGGGCTGAGCTGAGAGGTGGCAAATGGAGTTTAATGCGGAAAAATGTGAGGTGATTCACTTTGGAAGGAGTAACAGGAATACAGAGTACTGGGCTAATGTTAAGATTCTTGGTAGTGTGGATGAGCAGAAAGATCTTGGTGTCCATGTGCATAGATCACTGAAAGTTGCCACCCAGGTTGATAGCATTGTTAAGAAGGCGTATGTTAGGTTTTATTGGTAGAGGGATTGAGTTTCGGAGCCATGACGTCATGTTGCAGCTGTACAAAACTCTGGTGCGGCCGCACTTGGACTATTGCGTACAGTTCTGGTCACCGCATTATAGGAAGGATGTGGAAACATTGGAAAGGGTGCAGAGGAGATTTACCAGGATGTTGCCTGATATGGAGGGAAGGTCTTATGAGGAAAGGCTGAGGGTCTTGAGGTTGTTTTCGTTAGAGAGAAGAAGGTTAAGAGGTGACTTGATAGAGACATACAAGATGATCAGAGGATTAGATAGGGTGGACAGTGGGAGCCTTTTTCCTTGGATGGTGATGGCTAGCACAAGGGGACATAGCTATAAATTGAGGGGTGATAGATATAGGACAGATGTCAGA